TATATATTTGGTCTCATGTGCACACCCTCCTGTACTCAGTACTCACTGCTGCACAGGCAGGTAGCCCTCATTCCTATCGTCTAGTCATTGGCACAAGTCAAGTGGAAGGATGGACAGCACTGCAAGGAGGTGGAGGAAGGGGTAGAAAAGGATCCTTTGCTGTTTGCCCCAGGGCTCCTTCCTTGAGGCCTGAGTGGCGGCAGGATGGTAAGGCAGAAGGGCACCTTTGTTCCCTTCTGTCACTCCCCAAGTTCACCAGAAGTCCTTGCCTCTGACTGTTCAGTTGTTCTTCTCATTGTGGTTATATGTGGCTATAGCCTTGGGATGAAACACTCTATAGATGGGCATTTATTTATGCCCATGCCTGACTTCAATGATATCTGTGTCTTCTCTACAGGAGTTTACCTGTTCAGGTTTTGAGCTTTGTCCACCTGTAGGTGGAGAAGGACAGATCTGAAGCGTCTCCAGTTTGACCAGGAGTTCGTTCTGCTGAGAGGCTGCACTTGGCCACTAAGCACGTGAAGTCTGACTTGACTTCTAGACATCCCATCCCCTGTTGTGTTATCCTAACATTTCAACTTGATGATTGGCCCTATCTTGAGAAGAGGAGGAACAGTAAAGATCTTATCTAGAGAAACCCTCAAAACCCCTCTGCCATATTGGAGCAATGGTACAGATGACAAATGTAGGCCACTGGTCCATGGAGTCCCATCAGAAAGTCCCTCAAGGCCACTCCAACACATTTGTCAGTGACCCACCCCATTCAGTACCATTTCAGTCCTGAACAAGCAGAGTTGAGGATGCAGGAGTCAAATTACAGCACAAAATTGGACATGCACCCTCATCATCCTCCCCGCTGACCTGAGTGTCCTCAGAATGGACCAGCACCTCCATCCAGGATGGAGATTCAGGCAGGTATGCACATGATCTGATAATACTAAGACACCCAGGGTGAAGCAAAGTTGTGGGGGGAGATTTCAGAACCACAACAAGGAGTCATTGGGCAAACTATTTTAAAAAGGGAGCTGCTGTTTTACCTGAGAAATCACCCACAGAGAAGCATGTCACCCAGAGGTGGATGAGCACCAAGTTATCAAAACTTAGCTTAATGACTAGACCTCTCTTCTGTATTCTGTGCATGTGGTAGAAGATTGAAGGTCACTCTTGAACCAAATCCAGACTCCTTGGTAGTGTATCCATTCATCAGTTGGTGAGCATTTTGGTTGTTTCCAAGATTTAGCTACTATAAATGTTGCTAGAAATGTGGGTGTGCATATGTTATTTTGTCATGATGCTTTTAATTCTTTCAGGAGATACCCAGAAGAAGTATAGCTAGGTCAAATGGGACCTCTAATCCTAATTTTTGGAGGAATCTCCACACTTATTTCCACAGTGGTTGCACAATTCTGCACAACCATCAACATTGGAGCGGGGTACCTTTTTCCCTACAGCCCTGCCAGCCTTTGTTGTTTGCTGATTTTTTTTGGTATTATCCATTTTCCCCCCTGGGGTGAGATGGCAGCATTTTGTTGCATTTTCTTCCCATGTTTCTATCATTTTGTTCATTTGTTTGTGTGTGTATGTGTGAGCTGAGGTTTGTGGATGCTTATAGTCTAAAGCCTTTATTGCTACTACAGAGATATTTTTATTTGCTTTTCAGTATTGTAGTTTGGGAATGATTAACTATAATTCTTTGCCATAGTTACAAGATTCAACCACCTTTGTTATTTTTGGGAAAGGAAAGTGCAGTGTAGTTAGTCCAGTAACAAAGTTTTGGGGATTGTACTCCAGTGCTGTTGCTGTCACAAAGGAAATCACAATGTTGGCTTACAGAGAAATTGCAACAATTATGCAACACAGTTAATATAGCAAGTGAAACACCTATAGTGGTATTGGCTAAGAAAAAAATTAGATATCAAACTACCATAAGAACCAGTTGTGTACCACCCTTATTCCTATGGAAGAAATTGACAATTATGATGTAAACATTAAGGTAACCCACATAATAACTTATAGTTAATATGTCCTAAATGTTCTGTATCTCTGCTAATGGTAGAAAATAATTCAATAGTAATTCTACATGGTTAACTGTCAAAAGATTAACAAAACTTTATGGTTCTGTTAAAGTCTTAGAGTTTGAAATGGGGGATGAAAAAGGAAAAGTGAAACATTAAACTCTGTTATATGAGAAAGAGGAGAGAGAAGTGGTACAAGGGATCTTATTGGGGAGTAGGATAACAATAGAATTAAGTAGAGGTAAACAAACTGGTAATAAATAGAAGATTAAAAAAAGAGAAAAAAGAAAAAATATATGGAGAGGAAAAGCAAGAGAAAAGTAACTAAGTGGAGAAAATTTAAAAGGGAAAAGAGGAAAAATAGAAAAATAAAAGAAGAGATTAGAAGCAAGGTTGAAAGACAAAGGAAGATTACCTAAGCCTTGGGAAACTGGTGAAGTAGACAGGAGAAGAGGAAAGAAGAAGAAGAAAAGCACAAATACAACAAAAAACTAAAAACTATCACAACCCCCCCAAAACAATAAAAAAATTAAAGAAAACCAAAACTAAAAGCAAAGAAAAATACTTTATCTGGGATTTCAAGACCATAGATATATTCTGGGCTCTAGCATTTTGGATGGTGTTTAATTCAAGGCCTGACTATGCTGCTGGCAGACACAGGACACAATCACTACCCAGATCTATCCTGAGTAATCACTATCAAGCTGGTAGTAGGATTGGGTTGAGTGCCAGTTCTATTACTTTCAAATCCATGGAAATTCAGGCTAAACTTGGCCTCTCATCATGGCTTAGGGGCTGATTCCTTTAGCTTATAGCACTCTGGTGTCTCCTGCTGGTCTGAGCAGAGCTCCCTGGCCATGGATGGCTTCTCCCATACCCATGCACTGTGGTAGTTTAAAGCTGAGAGCTCTGAGATGAAACCCCATGTGGAAAGCAGCATAAGGATTCTTAAAAAATAAAGATAAAACTTCAGAATGTTTACTACAAAGAAATTAATGAACAACAATTGCTAGTGGGGCTGTGGGGAAAAAGGAAAATTTCTCCACTGTTGGTGGAAATACACAATGGTGTGACCACTGTGGAAATGACTGTGAAGATTCCTCCAAGAATTAAGATTATAGGTCCCATTCAACCCAGCTTCTTTCCTCTTGAGTATCTTCCCAGGATAATTAAAATCATCATACCACAATGATATATGCACACTCATTTTTATGATGATACAGTTAGTAATAGCTAAATATTGGAAAAAACTCAAATGCCCATCAACTGATTAATGGATTTTTTAAAATGTAGTTTTTTTAATACAGTGGAGTAATACTCATCTATACAGAAAAAGTCAAGATATTTATAGCTAAATGGATGCAACTCGAGACTACACTCTTAAGTGAAATAAATCAAGCACATATTTGTAAATATTCTATTGTCTCTGTGGTGGGAGAAACTAAGAGGGTAAATAACCAAAATCCATAATGCATAATATGAAGTAGAAAGAAACTGTCCAAAAAAAAAAAAAAAAAA